GGTAGTGATGCTATTTGGGTGGTTGTAGACCGGTTGACTAAGTCGGCGCATTTCATTCCCATGCGCGTGAGAGATTCGGTAGATCATCTTGCCGACTTGTATATTCGGGACATAGTGAGATTGCACGGGGTCCCAGTGACGATCGTCTCAGATAGAGATCCTCGTTTTACTGCTAGGTTGTGGCAGAGTTTGTAGAGTGCCTTGGGCACTAAGTTGACCTTTAGTACGGCCTATCGAAGATAGGGGATGAACTCCGTAGATACAGCTCATATGCTTGTCTAGAGAAGTGAAGATAGGGCTTATATGCTTATCTTTGTGATGTGTGGATACAGCTTATATGCTTATCTGTGAATGTGGGATATAGTGTTATACATATCTGTTGTAGAATGTGGATATAGCTTATATGCTTATCTGTGGATATTGTGGTTATACATATCTGTTGTAGAATGTGGATATAGCTTTTACGCTTATCTGTGGATATTGTTGTTATACATATCTGTTGAGAATGTGGATATAGCTTATATGCTTATCTGTGAATGTGGGATATTGTTGTTATACATATCTGTTGGGAATGTAGATATAGCTTATATGCTTATCTGTGAATGTGGGATATAGTTTTTATGCATATCTGTTGAGATGATGATAGAACTAATATGCTCATCTGTTGAAAAAGGGAAAATGAAAAGTAACTTGGACTCATAAGTCGGATGACATAAAAATGTGATTTAATGTGGATGTATCAGTGCTGGCCATCTATCAATTGCTAATCTTTTAGTCATTGTTCATGGTTGGTTTAGTGTATTTCTACTGGGCTGTGGCTCACCCTATATGGGAATATCATTTTCAGGTACAGGTAGCATGCCACCTCCAAGGTCATAGCTTGGGAGGCTAGAGGCGAGCAGATTGTTGTGGTTTTAGTTCCTTTTTGATGTATTACATGTATATTCAAGCCGAGGGCTTAATGTGTAGATAACTTAGCACTCTTTTGTTGTAACCAAGTGTTAACTTGGAAAGCTGTAAGCCCGTAGGGCATTTTTGCTTTTGTTGTTAACATGTAATACTTTTGTAATGAAACTCTGATGAATAGAAGAATGTGGTTATTGCATTTGTCAATGAATGTCTTATTTGATGGGTTTAATGTTATTTTTTTTGAGGGCGTTACAATGGAGACATACATGTGGGTGTTGGAAATGTTAATGGAGGCCATGGATGGTAAAAGACCCATCTCCGTTGTAACAGATGGTGATAGGGCAATGCGTCAGGCAATCAAAAGAGTTATTCCAAACTGCAGACATCGTTTATGTTCTTGGCATCTGGAGAAAAATGCCTCAACAAATGTCCACATACTAGAATTTACAACTGATTTTGCACAATTGATGTTAAAGAAATGTAAAATTGATGAGTTTGACAATGCCTGGGCTGCTATGGTGAAACAGTACAAGTTGGAGAACAATAACTGGGTGTTGGATATTCATCTGAAGCGTGATAATTGGGCTGAGGCATAACTCCGTGGTCACATGTTCGCTGGAATGAGGAGCACACAACATGTCGAGGGTATGAATGCATATTTCAATATATTCCTAAACCAAAAGGTTAGGCTGTACGAATTTGTAGCGCAATATGATAGGGCTCTTGCTAGAATGCGTGTGAATGAGGCAGAAACAGAATCTAAAACAGAGAACAGTTTCCCGGTTTTGACTACGCCATTGAGAAGTTTGGAGAAACATGCAGCTGAACTCTTTACTCGGAAGATTTTCTCATTGTTTCAACATGAAATCAGGAAAGAGGGTAAATTGTTTGTGATGGAAAGAGTTCAGCTGGAGGATCATCGCACCTACCGTTTTGGTGAGTACAAGGCACCAACATGCACGTGGACGTTTGAGTATTTTCCAGCTGATATCACAATGAAATGTTGTTGCTTGAAGTTTGAGTCGTTTGGCATCCCTTGCTGCCACATGATTGCTGTTATGAAATCTGAACAATTAATGTGTATTCCACCGAGTTGTGTCTTGCAGAGATGGACAAGACGTGGTAGGTCAAGGTGTCAACAGCCAAGTCTTACCCAAATTTGTAGCACCCTAACACAGACAGCTCGGTTTGGTATACTCAGCTCCTGTTTTAGTGAAATGTCATATTATGCCTCACACTCGGACAAAGATTTTGAAGAGGCAAGGGAAATAGCTTTCCAGCTGACATCGCAAATGAAAAAACGTTGGGCAATGAGAAAAGAAGGTAACGCCGAGGCTGGGGACAGAAATATTGCACCCAAACTATATGGCGTTGGTGATCCTAATGTAGTGAAGACCAAAGGGAACCCCGGAGGTACATCTTCTACAGGTAAACCTCCAAAACCAAGGCGGTGTGGGTATTGTAGGTATGGTACTTTCATTGTATGACTTTTTTATATCCTGTTACATGCATATGATTATTAAAATCGTTTATGCATTATTTGCTACTGTAGGAGCATCGGACACACGAAGCGGACGTGTAAAAAATTGGCTTCAAGTAGCCAGAGAGAGGGTAGCAACTCAGACAGTGAACCATTCATGAACACAGAGTTGGATCCCCACACGGATGATTTCGATGAATTGCCAAATTATCCAAATGATCTAGTGTAGTTGACTTTCATGATGAGGCTTATAGTGATCGAAACATTGTTTTTACAAGGAGACATTAGTGGCTAGTAGTTATGTTTTGTTAATGTCTTAGTTGTTTAATATTAGGCATTCTTAATAAATTTCGTAGTTTGGAGATTAATTTTAAAAATAAAGGTGAATAAATTCCAAATTTGTGTGATTGCTGATAAAATAGGGACTCGCTCACGCCATTACTTTACAAACAATCACTGTTAATAATACCGAACTGTCTGTCTTTTTCTTTTGTAGATTTTTTTTAATTGTCTGTTTGCTTGGTAAGAAATGGTGGACATTGCTGTTAGGTGACACATAACTATGCTTATATTGGAATGGTATGGTATCGATGTATAGGGATAATAAGAAGTGATGGAGATGTGCATTGCCTATTTTTTTAATATTTTGACTTGAGTGTTTCTTCCATTGAAATATTTGACTTAATATTTTTTAATATTTTTGACTTAATAAATTTCGTATTTTGGAGATTAATTTGAAAAATAAAGGTGAATAAATTCCAAATTTGTTTGATTGCTGCTAAAATAGGGATTTGCTCATGCCATTACTTTACAAACAATCACTGTTAATAATGCCGAACTATCTCTCTCTTTTTTGTTTGTAGATTTTTTTAATTGTCTGTTTGCTTGGTAAGAAATGGTGGACATTGATGACTCAAATCAATAAGGTTTTATTATATTTGCATTTGTCATTGTATGATTAAAATTTGAATCTCTCCAATGACGTACATATGTTCTAATATGTTTGGATATTACGTAGGTAATTGAAAATGCCACGGAAAAAGACAACAAAAAAAAACGAGTAAAGGAAAAGCGGTAGCTCCTCACGTTGACCTTGGTATTTTTGCTAAACGGGCTATTACAGTAGAGCGGGCTGTCAAGTTGAAGGAGTTAACTCATACTGATATTCCAGCAATTGTGGGCCACCTGCATATCCAAAACCTAATCGAACGGGAAGGGAAGGCTAATGTCAACCTGGTACGGGAATTCTTTGGTAGCATACAAAAGCCAACTGATACAGAGAACTTGATTCTGAAAACAAAACTGAGGGGGAAAGATGTGGTGTTTTCTGCGGATTGCATATCAAAATTCTTAGACATTCAGCGACCAACACATGATGACAAAACACAATATCCATACCTTCCTGGTGTTGACCTTCCTAATGAAGCCCAAATTGTTGATGATTTGTACATCGAAGGAGTCATACCACAAGACAAGTATCATGTAAAGTTCCTGAAGCCTGACCTTGCTGTTCTTCATCTTATATTGTGGTACAATCTTGACCCAAGGGGGGTGAAATCCATTTTTGACCATGAACGAGCACTCATGTTGTATGCTGTCCATAATTTCAGCCCTCTAGATGTTCCGAAGATAATTTGGCAAGTTGTGGATTTTGTTGCAAAAGCAAACAATCCACATGCAGCATTACCATTCGTCCTCCTTGTGACTGATATGCTACTTGAGCTTCATGTACCGACTCGACAAGATGATGAATGGAAGGGGCAGATGAGCCACATAGATCGTGGAACATATGGGAAAACACAAGGGCAAAGTCGAAAGCATCGTGAAAGACAAGATCCTACTTCATTGGAGAGCATATAAACTCATTTGTATGAGGCTGTGTCCATATTGAACCGGATGGAGTTGCAGCACAAGAAAGACATGAGGAAGGTCAAGTTAGAACTAAAACAAATGCGGAAAGCCTTTTGTGGTGAAGATTTTGAGAATTCAACTAGTTCTAATGATAGTGAGCAGGAATCTAATCGGTCCAACTATGATGACAGCCAACAAATGGATACAGACAATGATGGTTGAACAAAGTTTGCAATGCCAATGATTTAGCTGACACTGTTACTTTTTTTGCATACAGTGTTACTTTTTTTGTGCGGAAAGTGTTAACTTCTTTTTACAAACAATGTTACTTTTTTGTGCAAACAGTGGTGGTACTTTGTTCATCCTATACTTTTGCGAACAGTATTACTTTTTGTCCCATTTATTATGAAAAGACAATTGAAACAATGTTAGAATTCATGGATGGCTTATGTGATGGACAACATTTGGATGGTTTATGTCAACAATATTATTTAGTATGATTCTTCGACATTTTTGATAGACATGTCCAATTAATTTTTTTTTTTCAATGCCAATGATGTATGTATAGCTTGCTGAAATTTATGGATACCAATCGACTACACAGTTGATACATCGATTCCAAAACTTAGTATGATATTTATGCACGGAATGTGATTAACAAATATAATTCGTTAGATTTCTTAGACGTTCTTTCTTTCTAAGTCGTTGAAGGATACATTAGGTGTTGCTTACTAGCAAGAAATGCAGGTCCTCTGTTACTTTTTTGTAGCAAATACTGTCATTGTTCTTTGCATTTTTAAAATTTGCAAAGAACTACCTTTGCGTGCCTTGTAAGTGGGGAGATGACATGAATTATCACTTTCTCTGCATTAACAATATATTTTTTATATTATTTTTTTTTATTGTTCATTTTTTTTTTTTTTGAGGACATTATTCATTTTATGTGTGCTTTATTAAATGTAAAATTTAGAAAATTTATTAGTTATTTTGTTACTCTGCCAAGGACTAGTCCTCTTACACTCTTGCCATTTGAAATGTGTACATGATAGTATACACTAATAGCACAATTTTAGTTGCACATGAACTGATTATGCAAAAAAAATTATACTGTACCATATATGTAGCAATGCATGGACTTGTAATCCAGTTTTTAAAACAGTTTCCCCACTAACATTTGGTACATGTGTGTAATTTTTGATGGATTGTAAATGTAACAACCAAGAGTAATGTGATACAGTTAAATATCATAAATAGTTTTATCACACCAATCCTGAGCAACAATATAAATTCCATACAAATTGAAACCCTAAAAATAATATGCTTTTTCAATCGTCCACAAAATACTACCAAACTGGGTTAGTTTAGTCATCCATGTTTCTTCAACCATCTAATATGTTCATAATTGTGAATAAGCATAGTGCCAAAAGTACGGTTAGGCGAATCAATCTTTTTTCAACCAGCCATGTTTTCAATCAAACTTTCTTTTTCCTTTTAGCCTTCCGGAGCCTAGAGTACCTGTTACAAAAGAAATTACAGTCAGTAAGTAATCAGCTGAGTTTATGAAGGGCATAAGTTGTTCATGGATTGGGGATGCACCTCTCTTTGTATTGTTCGATCCTATTCATAACCTCAATATAAATACGGTTAGACGAATCGTTCACTAGGTCAACTAGTAGCCTAAACCTTTTCAGTTTGTCAAACTAAGGAAACAAAACAAAAAATATTCCATCAACAATACCATCATATGACATTGTAATAGCAATAGTGTAATTATGTGGTTAACATTGAACAGTCACCTTGTGTACGCCGGTCGGCATAACAACACCTTGCATATACTTCATGACAAACATACCACAGTCATAGCTTCATGACAACATACATATGAATGTCAAATTTGTGTGTAATGTTAATAAGAGACCCAAAGTTGAATAGCAAATGAAGAAATTTTAGAATACCTATCAGTTTTATGTTGGAGACAAGCGTCTTTCAACCTCTCTAATTCAAACTCCTTCACATTTGCAACATAAAGGTCTCCGAAATATTGTTGCAATAACAAATGCATTGTTTCAACCTATGCATGAATATTGTAAAATAGATTGTGTAATTGTTTTTTTTTTTTTAAATAATATTAAACGACTTACCAATTTCCTTGCCATTAATTCACGACGTTTGTCATTTGTGAGGCTGGGACTCGAGTCAAATATATAAGCCATGCGATGTGCCATATCTATGTTGACACAAAACCAATGTTCTTCATGGTCGTTC